GTTGTGATCAAATGCCTTGCTTCTTTCGATCCTTTTCATTGGCTCAAAATAGATTATTCTACATGTTTCATTGGTTCACAGTTCGACTCAGTAAGAATTGATTGGCTAAGTTTTATGTCAGTGCAAGTTGCATTTTCAAGACAACATTCGACCTAACGTAATAATGATGGCGAAGTGGCTCATGGCATGGGCGTCGTCGATATTGAGTATCGTTGTCGCGAACCACGTGCACCTCCGCAACAGCGCCGTGTGTACGCCCGTGAGTGTCGTGGGAGATGCCACGTACTGCATCAATGCACCCATTGTCTGTGGAGGAGTGACCGGCGCGTGCCCGAAGCGAGGCGACATAGCGTCAGCCAACTGCGTCCCGGCGCTCAAGAGCTACTCGAATGGTCCCACAGGGAGCAAGTGCGTCGCTCCAGCTGACGCCGAATGCAAGACCATTTCGTCTGGCGTGCTGGGCTGTGTATTTCCTTCGACCACTTCCGCAACCACCACGGCGACTCCCGCTCCTCGGTCACACCAAACATGCCCCACACGAAGCCTGCCACAACCTCTTCGTCCTCGGCAACTTGCGCCGACGACTGGAGTCAATGCGGCGGCCAAAGCCGAACGCAAACGTTTTCCAACTGCTGCCAAAACAAGACGTTTGCTTGCATGGCGTTCAACGTGTACTATTCCCAGTGCCTTCCAGTCACTTAGGTTCACGCATCAATACATGTTCATCATCATTGCCGCTGGTGCAGTACAAAGCAACTTCCATGCAGCCCACTGTGATGGACACCGGTCCTCGGCGGCAGTGGTTTGGCTGCTTGAGCAACCCTTGGCAGTAGTGGTCAGCGCGCTTGGGCTTGTCGCTAGCTCCGTGGAGGGACTTGCGACGTCGAAAGCGCGGTGTGGGAGCGATTTGCATGCGTGGACCGGCATTGCATTTGAACTTTGTCTTCGTAACGCTGACGTAACCGCCGTAGCCCTGCCACACAACCGGCGGCGGTACGAGATCCGATGCCATTGGAGATGCGACCATCCGACAACAACGATGGCAACGACAATGCAGTGATTCCTGTCGAGATCAGCGAGTCCGTGGGGTCGTACACGGCCAAGCTCATGGACGACGCTGCGATTCAATCGCTGCGCCGCGAGTTGCGCGCGTACGAGGCCAGCATTGCACAGGATGGCCACATGAAGGAGTTTGTCGCGACCAAGCCGACCAAAGTCAGTCGCATTGAGTTGCGCCAGCTTCTTCCCTGCCGCAGTAACAACGACGACGACGCGGTCGCGATCGAGCATCCGACCGCACCGTCAACTGTCGACGGCACACCAGTTGCACGACCATTGCGACCCCACAGGAACAGCGTGATTCGACGCCGCGACTCGTTTGCCACCGCCATGGTTAAACACCACCTTGGGTTCGACCCGCTCATGCAGACAGATGACGAATCCTCTGACAAGCACCGTGCAGAAGAAAGCACAATCACTCCCCGTCGCCCTGCGTCTGCCATCACCTCCCATAACCACAAGGCGGCGCTACCGACTAAACCCGCTTCGCGCTCGCGTCCAGCCACAGTCAACGTGAGCAGCGGCGCGGCGCGGCAGCGACCTTTCGCTCAAGTGCACAAGGAGGAGAAAGTAGCATTGCAGGGTAAGTTGAGCGACTTGCTTGCACGTACCCCAGCTGAATCACATAATACGTACACGCGCACATTTTACACATTCTCGTGCGTAGCGCTCGAAGCTCAGTACTCTGCGGCCAAGGACATGGTGCTTCGGGTGAGTCGTCATGGCAAAGAAACATTCGTTTTGTCCAGAGCTTTACGTGGCTCAACGGGGGAATTTGTTTTTCTAGCACATGGATCGATGGGGGGTACGTACTCGCCCCGACGGAGACATCAGTTCCTCTGTCTTTTCAAAGTTGAACAAGTTCGATGAAAAGCTCGGATTCCAACACCCCGAGGACACCGACAATCGAAAGTCCCCCCGCCCCCATCGACCGCCCCCCCAACTCACTTCGCATTCGGCTCTGCCACACATGACGACAGGGTCGCGCCCCCACCATCGTCAACCACCGTACAAATAACGTTAGAATTCTTTTGGGTCGCTGACGTTCGTGGAGGTTATCAGCGCTGCCATCGCAGTATCACCACCCACTGGATACGACCCTCAGGTGCATCCTCCCCCGCCACTCGCCTCGATGGCGTCGGCGGCATAAAAAAACGAGACACAGCATGCAATTCGCTCCCTCCCATCGTTGCAACGGCGACTGGAACGGTTTCATCCGAAACCGACACGACCCCACACTCCGCGAACCCCGTTACGGCATCAATCATGGCGCGAGAACCGGTGGCCATTACGGAGGACTTTTTGTTGGATCACGTTGGCGTATACGACATCGTGGGGACGAAGGAGGTAAGTCGACGTGCAGTGGTGACTCGGTGACTTGTGCTTTAGCTCTTGCTGCGTAACGAAGGCATCGAACGACTGGACGAAGCGTGCGCGAAGAAGCTCGTGTCGCTCGAGCTCTTATCGCTGTCCCACAACGCTCTCGAGTCGTTAAATCATTTTCAGCATCTCACCAACCTCGTTGAGGTACCGCCGCATCCCACGATGCCATCCACCTCAGGCCTGACAGCCTCGCCTGGCTAGCTCAACGTGAATTTCAATCAAATCGCATCCCTTGACACGCTTCAGTGCTTTGGTTTGCAAAAACTTTACGTGGCCAACAACAAAGTATGCCTGCCCATCAACCAACCCTGTCCCATTTCTTCCTGCCTAGCTAACGTCGATTGCGCACCTGCGGTCGTTTCCGCAGCTTGTCCACGTGTCCGTGTTTGGAAACCAACTGACTGACTTTGACGGCGTCATGCACACCTGCCGGCATCTTCACAAGCTGCGGGGACTAGACTTGGACGGAAACCCATGCGCCCGCGTCAAGGGGTATAAATACCTCGTGCTGAGTCGGCTCACTCGACTAAAAGAACTCGATGGTATGTTTGCATGTTCCACCTCCAGCGCGTCATGAATGCCTCGTCCAGGTGACACCATCCATGCTTTGGATCGCGAACTGCTGCTTGAACAGCAGCCCCTGCCACCGTCGTGTCGACCGTCCACGGCTCCGCCAGCCCCGCCCACGACGAGCAGTTTGACCCGCATGTCGTCGCGCAGTTCGCTTCTGGACACTGGTACGTGCATGCAGCTCATCTGTCGATGCATGTTGGCGCGATGCGTCCTCGAGGCTGAGTGGAAAACGCAGTTGCCGAGAAGGAAGCGTCGCTCGCGTCCTTGCGCGGCCCTGTTCACCTGTTTCGCGATGATTTTCTCAATAACAACTCCATCTTGCTCGAGTACTTGGCGCAGGTGCGACCCCACGTGCCCTTCTCTCCACGTCTAGAAGCTTCGACGTGCTTGATAGGGTGTTGATGGCCATCGCCCGACGCAAGACTCGCCAGCAAGTGCTACTGACGCCGCACTCGCAACGCCTTCGTCCACGTACGATCCTCTTTTGGCATGGATGGCACACGTGTGATTTGTGTTCAAAGGTTTGTGGGCAAAATGCGGCAGGCGAATCCGAATCCCGCGCTTGAGGCAGTCCCTCTTCCGTCGGACGCGGAAGACGGTGGTGGTCGAAGCGCGCCGTGCCCCATGGCCACCCCCGCGCCTCTCGCCACACACTCCATCGTCGACCCATCCGATCCCCACGCTACCATTCGAAAGCTACTCAAACACATTGAACACTTGGAGGTACATCCCGCGTCTTGGAGGCTGCTCGGTTGTCGGCTTCGTGTCTGAGTGACGTTTTGGGCTGTCGACTGGCGGGCAACATTGGTCGCGGCGCTTTGCCTTGTCGTCCTTGGTGAAGCTGACAACTCGACGAGATGTGTAGGCTAGCGTCGACATGTACAAGTCGAGTGCGTCGGATGCAACGATGGAAAGGCTCTTGGAAGCCAACCATCGGTTGCGCATCGAGAACAACAACATCCCGATCTTACAGGAAGAAATCCAAGCACTCAAGGCCACCCTTCGCCACGCACCACCCGACTACAACGACAGCGGTGAAACCAGCGCAGGGACAGCCAAGGCAGCATCCATCAAAGCACTGCAGGTTCGTCACAGGCCGTTGGCCCACGGAATCGCCTCAGCAATGCGATGCCGATGTGTTTCAGGACGAAAACGCCGCCCTGACGAGACAAGTGCACAAACTTCGCACGATGCTGGCAACCCGCCAAGCGACGGACGAAACGATGTCCGCCAAGCAGTCGAAAGAAGAAGTATATGCTGCGCCATTCCTCGCTCGCCTAGCACACTCTGCGCTGCCTAGATTCTCGACGAAGCCGCCAACGTCGATGTCGAGCTCACCGCGTTGATCATGCAAAACGAAATCTCGCTTCAAGTGATGCGACAGGTACTGGCCGCGACCGGCTGGCCGCTTGCGCATGACGTCGTGCGCCGCATGTCTAGACCATTCAAAAGACCAAACTCGACCTGCAACAAGACCGCGCCGCTCGATTGTACCTTGGATTGCCAACCATGTGGACCTGACGCATGAGTACGTAGGACGGGCCATCAGCGTCCCAGTACAAGCGCGGGCATTGAACGCACCGGCGTGGCGGACTCGGGCCCGCGGCTCTCGGCCTTGTCTGGAGCGGTTCGCTCGCCCACCACCCGCCGTCAGCTGCACACGTCGGCCGGCCACCGTCCACGTCCGTCCTCCTCGTCGCATCACGCCCCTGCCGAAGCCATATTCAACAAAACATCCAAGTCGAAGCCATCGATAACGAAGTGCCCATCCGTGCCAGAAGCTCCCACCTCGGACGTCAATGACCACGACGGCACCGCCAGCAACAACAACCACGCGCCAGATCTCCTGGTGCTGTAGCCCCACGACCCATCGATCTCGATTTCGTTTTTCTCCAATGTCTCGTTGAATGCACTCAAACGAATTGTTTGTGTTGGACATGAGCATCGACAACATGGCGGCGCGTTCGTTGCAAAGGCAGCTCGGGTTTTGACATGGCCCTAAAGCCACATTGAACCCTCACGCTACTCATCTTGGCCCACCACACGCTCTGCATCGCGCTTCGACTGTGGGGTCACCGACTTCGTTGCTTTGACCAAGTGCATGGGGTTTGCGCACCTCGATATGCATGTGACGGTAGTTCGAGTGTCTGTAGGGTGTAGCTGCGTGACTTGAATCGTTCTACTCGGCGTTGTGGCGAATATGCTTTGGCATACGGGTGACCAGCGATAGCGACCACCACCCCCAGAGAAGTATGCCACCATGTGCGAGTTGGAATCGTTCCATGACAAGTCGACTGCTACGATCGCTCGGGCCATCGACACCAATTCCACGTATTGCGTGCATGCGGCGGCACGATGCTTTCCCGCGTCGCCAGGTCCACTTGCGACAGTTCTACAGCCACGGCATTCGACGTGTGTCAAGCGACGGTCGGGTTGCTGCAAGAGTTACCTTGCAATGTAAACGGGTACAACGGAGGCATCTTGACGTTGTTCGGGAGCACAGCGGTAGGTTGTCTAGGCCACAAACCCCACTTAGAACAAAAAGCGCACCATCGATTTCGCCACTGGAACGGTAGTCAAAGACCGATTGCTGGCGTCGATGGCAGCACGATCCACACTCACCGAAGTTCGTCAAAGAAAGGGTGCGCTGCAGCAGCCAGGGGGTGCAATCGCCTATGCACCACGGCGATCGCATCGGTCGGTGACGGGTGGAGCGACACGTACCTCGCGGGAGAATACGTGAGCATGCGTTGGAGCAAGTCGAGGGCTTCGGGCGGGCATGTGGCCGGTGGGAAGACTGCGGCGAGACGAGGATGCACGCGAGGCAAGCGAAAGTCCGTATGCTTGGGATTCATGGCTTCCAGCTCGGCGCGGCTCGGCGTTCCCACGACTTTGATGATGTTGAGCAGCTGGTCGACGCCGCTCTCACCTGGAAACAGCGGCTCCGACAGCAGAAGCTCGGCAAAAACACACCCAAGGGACCACACGTCTACGAGACCCTGCCGTCAACAAAAGCGGCAGAGCTCCTTCTGAATGCCTACCGATTGCAGTTGTGTAGTCGGTCGCGCCAAGGATGAGTTCCGGAGCGCGGTAAAATCGCGAGCATATGTACGACACATTCGGTTCCGACGGCTGGAGCATCTTGGCGCTGCAGCATGACAGAGGCGGCGTAAGCAATGCAAAGAATACCTGGAGCGCTGCGATCGTGATCGACGGACCTGCCAAAGTCGCACAATTTGACAACATGCGTGGCTGGATGCAAAAGCACATTCTGGGGTTTGATGTCACGGTGGCAGATGCCGAGGGAGTGGAGGTATCCGAGGGCGCAGCAGAGCTGATACACATACAACTTGACGTAGATCAGCGGGAGGCGGACGCGGCGCTCTTTCATTTGGCACACGACGCCGTAGATGGTCTGGGGAATGTACTCGAGGACGAGATTCAGGTACAAGTCGTCACTCTATGCGCGTTGTTCAAGCAATCGGAAAGAGTGACGCGGGGTGCCTCGCCACGTACGTTTTCGATGCGTGAATAGAAGCTGTGTTTAAGATGCACAATGTTGGCATGATGCAGTTGCCGCATGATTTGGAGTTCTCGGTTCTTGATACGTTTGTCTTGAAAGATCTTCTTGATCGCGACAACCTCCCCCGTTTCCTCGACCACGACGTGGAATACCGCGCCAAACGACCCATATCCGATCTGTCGCTCGACACGGTAATGAATCGTACGACCCTACCCAACACACATGTCGTCCCGTGTGAGAGACACCTACTCTTCCCCAGACCACCGCCGTCTTGCTGACTTACATCCGACAGCACGTGCGCCGAGTTCTCGAGCGTAATGCTGCGTATCGCCGCCTCCGCGTCCATGATGGTACGAATGTCGTCGAGGATATCACAGTATCCGGATATTCCTCACGGATATTCGAGGGGTGGACTGTACCGTACACTAGTTCCGACTTGACGTCAAGTATACCGTACACTATTCGCAACGCTTGATTGCGCCAACACCGAACAGCCGAGAGCCACGATCATTTTCGTCGGGTGATGGCGCGCCACAATCGTTGGCGGAGCAAGCCATGGCTCGCGAGGGATGCATGCGGGGGCAAATTCAGGACGGGACCGCAACGACGGCATCACGATCGTTGTGTCCTGGCTTCGTGGTTGACAAAGGCAGCAGCCTGCCCTAAACTGTTGGCGACAGCCCGGAGTGGTGTGAGAGAATAACGAAAGAGAAGACGCTTCGGACATATCGCGTCGACCTCCCAGCGCTCGCGCAGCCACCTGGTTGCCCCTCACCCGCAATGCGCTCGACCTGGTTGCGCAAATTTGGATGGCCGCACCATGATATCCACATATTTCCGATTCAACCCGAATCGGACGTCAGAACCACCAACACTACACTTGAGTTCGCTATGGTGCTGTGCTAAATGTCAGCATTTCATTGCAAAATAAAAATGCATCGCAATGTAAAGAGGCAATTGCATAATTTGATTGAACGCATGAACGTGCATGCATTATGTCATGCTACATTTAAGGCAATACAATTTTCAAGTGAACTAAGTCGCACTTAAGTGAGTACCCCCACACAGTTTTCAAGGTCGAATTCTGCCCCAAGGATGTATCTTTCATTATTGGAATTGCAGCGCCCATGTGGAAGCTCACGACGCCACTAACTTCCCGCGCCATGCCAAAACTCCCACTCGCCGCTGCCAGTACGCGCTCGTTTCAATCGAAAACATTCCAAGAGCATGTCCAGACTGCCACAATGGCGGACCGCACCGAACAAATCCTTGCCGGTGGTCGACATCTCTTTCCGCTCCTCCCCAAGGCGTTCGCAGGCGTCAAGCAGATCGGTGTCGTGGGATGGGGTTCCCAAGCCCCCGCGCAAGCCCAAAATTTGCGCGACTCATTGAAGGGCACCGATATTCGCGTGAAGGTGGGTCTACGACCGAACTCGTCGTCCCTGGCCAAGGCCCGCGCCGCAGGGTTCACGGAAGAATCCAACACGTTGGGCAATCAAAACGACGTGCTCGCTGAGTCCGACATGGTGCTCCTTCTCATCAGCGACGCCGCGAGTGTGTCGTCGTACAAAGATATTTTCCAGCGCCTGAAGCCTGGTGCGACTCTCGGACTGTCGCACGGTTACCTCCTCGGTCATTTGGACTCTGTGGGCGAATCGTTCCCGTCGTCCATCAACGTCGTGATGGTGGCGCCCAAGGGCATGGGTCCGTCCGTGCGCCGTCTGTATGTGCAAGCGGCGCAGAACAACGGCGGCACTGCCGGTATCAATGCTAGTGTTGCAGTTCACCAGGACGTGAACGGCAAGGCGATTGACCACGCGTTGGGCTGGAGTGTCGCGCTTGGTTCTCCATACTCGTTCCCCACGACCCTTCGAGAAGAGTACAAATCGGACATCTACGGCGAACGTGGCGTGCTTCTCGGTGGCGTGTACGGCCTGATTGAAGCGCTTTTCCGTCATTACGTTCATGAAGGCAAGACGCCCGCAGAGGCCTTCCACGACGCTGCCGACAGCTTGACAGGGCCATTGAATACGCTCATTTCGCACCACGGTCTGTTGGCGGTCTACGAATCGTTCAGCGGGGCCGACAAAGAAGCGTTTGAAGCGGCGTACACGGCTGCGTACCATCCTTCGCGCGAGGTCCTGGAAGAAATCTACGACGAAGTGGCGAGCGGCAACGAAATCCGATCGGTCAACATGGCCGTCGATCGCCAAGCGCGCGGCTTCCCCATGCTGGCGACATTGGAACATCGGTGGATGTGGAAACTCGGTGAGGACCTCCGCCGATCCCGCGATCCTTCCAAGCTCAAGCTGCATCCGACGACTGCCGGCATGTACGTGGCCATGATGATGGCCCAAATCGACGTGCTTCTCGACCACGGCCACGGGTATTCCGAGATCGCCAACGAAAGCGTGATCGAAGCGACGGACTCGCTCAACCCGTTCATGCACGCGCGCGGCGTCGCGTATATGGTCGACAATTGCTCGATGACGGCACGTCTTGGGACGCGAAAGTGGGCCCCTCGATTCGACTACACGCTGACGGAGCAAGCCCTCAGTGCCGGCGGCGACAGCAAGTCGCCCGCGGAGAAGAAGGAGTTGCTCGCCAAGTTTACCAGCCATCGCATCCACGATGTCCTCAACACGTGCCTCAAGCTGCGTCCGGACGTGGATATCTCGGTGGTGTAAGCAGTGGGCAGATATTGAGAAGTGATTCATCCAAAAAACATACCATTGATATGCATACGAATGCTACGCCTTCCCTTCGCCCTTCGTGGCACACACCGCCAGGGAGACGGTGCATCCCTCGCTATGCGCTGGCCGCCGCGGTTGAAGCATCGTCACACTCGCATCGGCTTGAGTCCCTCTCGTCTTACTCAACCGAAGGATGGACTGAGATCGAGAGGACGAAGGAGGCCATGGTGGACATCGAGGATTCTGCTCGCGGAAGCACACAACAAGACAACATGTGTCCAACGTCGACGAATGTACTCGCTGGCGTCAAGGTGTAAGGGAGCTCAAACTCCACGACATGGATGGTGCGGTGGAAACCTGGAGGTCGCTTGCATGGAGGACACATTCAAAAGGCCCGACTGGTCATCCCAGTGCCTTATCTCGCTCTTGCATGATCCTCACCTCGGCAATGACATTCCGATCGGTGGAGTTTGAATGTGCAGCGATCCCCGCGACTTGTGTACATGGCGAGGGAAGAAGGACATTAGGTCGTCGGCCCATGAAAGACTGTATGCCGCCGTCCGAGACAAGACGAATGAGTCTTTTGATCGTGGACACGCCTTCCTAACTCTCTGTTCCCAAACTGCCGGCGACCAAACAAATCGAGTCGAGTTAATCGTCCAACGAGCCATCATAATAGTCTACTTTCAAGAGGCGCCCGTCAAGTTCCTAAGGTCAAGAGTGTGAAGCCCATCGTGCTGAGAAGGATGGAACGTACTTGGCCGTTCATAGCGAGAATCGCTTGAAAGGCGTCGTCGGCTTTTTTGAAGCTGACGCACCCTGTCAAGTAGATGTTTTCTTCCTGCGTCGGCGCAAATGACACTGTGTCCATTATTGTAAGCAAGCAGGAAGTGGAGACAACAGAGATACCTCGGAGCACAGGGCCGAACGGTTCAAAGGCTTGTCGAAGGCGATGGGCATCTGTTCGCCAATGTATTCCTAGAAGGCCAAACAACATGCACCTGAATGTCCAGACTATTCGTTCGGCTGTATCTCCCATCACGTCGCACCTTCCACGTAGATATTGGTTGCAAAGGACCTCCGCCAGAGCGAGCGCGCCACTGCCAAGGACGTCATCGAGCAAGTGGAACAAAGAAATGAATGCAGGTGGACGTCGAATTCAACATATGTATTGGATATAAATCATGTTTATCAGCAAAATTAAAACGAAACCTACCCAATGAAATGCCACCGAATTGAACAATGCAAACAGTTTTGTCCAATGAATATCGCATATTGGGAGATCCAAGTGTTTGCGCAGGGGGGCGAAAAAGTCGAAACTTCGCATGAGTAAGCCGACGATGCCGGCGGCGACGGCAGTTGCGCCGCGACAGTCGGATGCTGCTGAAGGCGATGCTAGGGGTGTTGGCATCTCTAGTTCGACACACACGATGGCCGATGTACAGTTTTTCTGACCATCAAACACGTCGTCATGCTCGTGTGTGTTTGTGCAGGGCAAGACAATCAACTACTCTGCAGAGCGCATCATTGGCAACGGCAGCTTTGGCGTTGTGTTCCAAGCAACGATCGAAGAGACGGGTGAAGTCGTGGCAATCAAGAAGGTGCTCCAGGACAAGCGTTTTAAGAACCGCGAGATGCAAATCATGCGCCAGCTCCAGCACGACAACATTGTCCAGCTCAAACACTGCTTCTACTGCAACGGCGAAAAGGTACGCCCCCTTTTCCGCTACGACGATTTGAGGCCACTTCATCTTGGCTGTGGTTGACCCGCTTCCATCTAGCCCGACGAATTGTACTTGAACCTTGTCATGGAATACATCCCCGACACACTGTACGGTGTTGCCCGACAGCTCCAGCGCAGCAAGCAACTCATGCCGATCGTGCTGGTGAAATTGTACATATACCAGATCTGTCGGGCGCTGGGGTACACGCATTCGATGGGAGTCTGCCACCGCGACATCAAGCCGCAGAACCTCCTCTTGAACCCGACCTCGCACGTCGTCAAGATCTGTGACTTTGGCAGGTACACCCTCGATCCGTGCATTGTCTGTGTATTGACCGCTCTTTCAGTGCCAAAATGCTCCAGAAGAACGAGCCGAATGTGTCGTACATATGCTCACGGTACTACCGCGCGCCGGAGCTCATCTTCGGCGCGACAGACTACACGACTGCGATCGACGTCTGGTCCCTCGGGTGTGTCTTTGGCGAGCTCTTGCTTGGGTCGCCCCTGTTTCCCGGAGAGAGCGGCGTCGATCAGCTTGTCGAGATCATCAAGGTGCTGGGGACGCCGACGCGGGACCAGATCGAAGCGATGAACCCGAATTATACCGAGTTCCAGTTCCCTGAAATCAACGCGCATCCGTGGTCCAAGGTCTTCCGTAGTCGGACGCCGCCTGAAGCCATCGACCTCATCACCAAGATGCTCGAATACGACCCCACCAAGTACGTCCCTTGATCACGATAATTGGGAGAGTTCGCTGGGGCGCAACATGTCTCGCACCGTGCTAACGATATTGTTTGCAGACGGATCAAGCCGTTGGAGGCTGCTGCCCATCCGTTCTTCGACGAGCTCCGCCAAGATCCGGCGGGGTTCCCTCTTGCGCTGCCTCAGAACGTCGACCCGCCGGTCTTGTTCAATTTTACGTGGCAGGGTGCGTCACCACCCGCTGCATGTGACGCCACCCGTCTCCTAAGTCTTTCTCGGTAGAGCTGAAAAGCGTGGACGTAGCGACCCGCGAGATCCTCGTGCCCAAGGACGCTCGAACGGCATCCAACTGGCCGGTCGACGAGACTGGCGCCTGGCCATCAGATGCAGCACCTGTCGAAGGAGGTGCGGCCCTTGTTGTGCCGACAACGTCACAATCTTGACCGATTGGCGACGCGTGAAACATCCACATCAGCACAGAGGGATACCAGCACAGCACTGTCCGCGCAACCCCTTCGATTTTATGTTTGTAATGGCGAATTGGAGCGTCCTGGAGGTTGCATCGCCTTGGTTCGACCACCGTCGGCATCTGCTTCGCAAACGCTTCCACGCAGAGCTGACTGAGCCGACATTTGCCGTGGGACTGGAAACTCAACGGGGTTGCCATGACGGGAGTGCATAGCAGGGCGACAAGCAGCGATGCCTGGCATGCGGAACTCTTTCAGCTCCATCGAACGGGTTCATTGGGAGCGTACAGTTAGTTTATCGTACGAGAAGACGAGGTGCCCATGACCGTCCTGTGATTCCTTCATGCCTCGGCTGCCGTGTAGGTCTGTGTTGTTTGAGTTGGGTGCTTGCTATCCTTGGGAAGCTCGCACTTCATGCGGCGGCCGTGCGCCTGTGGGATGCAGGTGGCGTCGATCTAGCCGTGAGTTGTTTCGTTGCGGACTTCGTCATGGGGGACTTGGTTTCATCTTGGAAAGTCAAGTGTACACGCATGGACTTGTGAGCCAGCCGTGGCGACTTTCGTTTCTGAGAAGCTGCGGCCATCGGCGGAAAGACATCGCCGCTCAAGCGCTTCTTACCACCGGACCTTCGGTTTAACGTGGGGGTGGTACTTATGGACGGTGACGACAAAGACACGAGGGGAGGCTGCGACGAAAGCTCTTGTAAGCATGACGCAACGAGCGGAAACAAGAGGGCTTCGGCCATGTTGTGGTAGGCGCTGAGCGCCTTTCGCGTGATCGGCATCACTTCCAACTTCACTTGAGAGCAAATGTCGCGAAAGAGCCGCAACATGACCCGACGAGGGAGGGCATAAGGATTGTCTTCGTTGATCTTGCCGGGGTGGACTTCGTCAGGTGCGTCACAGTCGGAGAACTCACCATCCCCTAGCGAAATGACATCGTCGTCGTCCGAAGCACTGGCGTCGTCACTTTCGGAGGTGTCCGCTTCTGATGATTCAAGTGAACCAACATCAACAATATCGTCGTCCGCACTGTGCAGCGTTCGTGGCTCAGACTCCACCACGGTTTGGGATGGAGCGGTTTCGCCATGCAGCAGAGCTAGCCTTGATTCGTCCGAGGCATCGTCGTACCCATACAGCTTGACACCAATTGCATGTGCGCCGCGGACGACGTCACAAGCTCGCACAACGAACTGTTGCCGTCCTTCCGTGACGTCTGTGATGTATGCTGTTGCTGTCGTGAGCTGAGTGATAAAGTCCTCCGCGACAACTGTGACGCGCTCGTTGGTCAAGTGCACGTGAGTCAAGTCGGCCTTCTTTAGCGCGTCCTTGACGACGCGCTCCAGGCAGCGCTCGAGGAGTTCCTGCTTGAGCCACGGCGTGTACCCCATTTCTCGTCCTTCGCGCCGCCTTTTGACTTGCAAAATGACACGAATTCAAGCTTCCCGCCAAGTGCTTTATCCGGATTATGGATTATCCGTATTTTCCCTGTCTTGTCATTGGTCAGTCACACAACTTGGGGATCGCTGGAGAAAAGTTGCCGCGGCCGTGGCCATGGTGACACATGTGGAGGAAGGACAACCAAGGTATGGCTTAAGTGAGCCGGCATGAGCAGGTTTCACCATGCCAACCAAAGGTAAGTGTGCAGGAAGTCCTTGGCCGTTTCTGCTGTCCCATCCTGCGACTGTTGAAGGTGCGACAATGGTCGAGCGAGTCGTAGCTGACATTCGAATACAGAGTGCTGTCCAACGTGCGGCACTCGCTGTGGTGCGGTATGACGGCTCACCCTTTCCTCTTGGCCCCTCTAGGCCCCGCGACAACAGTTCTCCACTCAGGATTTGCTCTCGTGCCACTCAATCTCGCTTTGGTGGTCCCACAGCGTTTGGTTATCGGGTGCAACTTGTAACTATACATTTATCTGGCACAACTCCGTTCGACTTGTCGCTAGTTCTCGAGGACGATGCGGAACCGGGCTTCGCCAGCGTGCACCTTTTGCATCGCTGCGGCAGCCTCGGCCATGGGCATGACCTGAACGATCGACCGCACGTTCTTCTCAACGGCAAACAGAAGCATATCTTCGATGTCGGAAGGCGATCCGATGATGGAGCCGACGAACGTGATGTTGCGCGGGACGAGGGTGAACGCGTGGAACGAGATGGGCACTTCGGGGAGCCCCACAAGCACGAACTTGCCTTCAGTGGCGACCAGTCCCAGGAGCATTCCCCAGTCGGTCTTGTCGCTGTAGGACGTGCACAAAATGAGGTCGAGCGATTGGGCGGCGGCCGCCACTTGCGCAGGGTCCGAGTAGTTCAGATACGCATGGGCACCAAGGACATCCTTGCAATCGGCCTCCTTCTTAGATGAGGACGAAAGAGCGGTCACGGTCGCGCCCATGGCAACGGCCCACTGAATGCCGAGGTGGCCGAGTCCGCCAATCCCCAACACGCCCACTTTCATTCCCGGGCCAACGTTATACTTTTTGAGTGGCGAGTACGTTGTCACCCCAGCACACATCAAAGGCGCCGCGATCGCCGACGGCAACGCGTCGGGAATCACAAATGCAAACTTGTTGTGGCAACGGAAAAAGTCGGCATATCCGCCTTGAGTGATGTACTGTTCGCCGTTGGGCAAGTCGATCGTGCTGTTGTACGTCCATTTCATGTCGGGGCAGAGCTGTTCCATTTCGCGACCACAGTACGAACAGTCGAGGCAGCTCGCGCACTGGGCGCCAATACCTACGCGCGTCCCGACCGCAAACTTGGTCGCATCCACCTTCCGCCCAATGCGCACGACCTTGCCGATGATTTCATGGCCGACAACAATGGGGTACTGGATCGCGCCCCACCCCCCAGACACCGTATGCAAGTCGGAGCCGCAGATGCCGCAGTGCGTGACTTGGATTTCCACATCATAATCGTCATCGAACGGCCGGGGGGCAAACGAGTGAGGCTTGAGGTCGAACCCAGGGGCAAACGCCGCTTGGCCAGTGTACTTCATGTTATTCTGGGCAGCCATCGTGCGAACGTGAATAAACGAAATATGATCATGGAGAACGCAATAACGCGGCCTGTGATTGCGCCCCCGCCGCTGTGGACGAATCATGAATCGGACCTCATGTGGTAGGATGCACCAGAAAAATGGCATCTGGCGTGTCGCATCCCGAGGTGTTGAGTAAACAGGGGCAAAGGCCTGTCATCGTCGCCAAGAACGGATGCGTTCCGACTGCGCACGGAGCGATGGCCGATGCATGCGTGGGCGAGACAAGGGCCCGATGGACCCTTGGGTTGCCTTGGGCACCTGCGGGATGTACCTCATTCAATGGTTGGGGCGCCACATTCAATCTTCGAGTAATTCAAAACGCCATGGAAAGCTGTCACATCCCCCTTGCAACAAGGGCACGAGCACTCCTGGAGGATAACACACGTCCAAGGCGACGCCGAGCCACAAACTACCGAGTGATATCACCCTAGTACACCAGACTGTGCCACCTCAAACATTCCCGGGATGTGGGGGCGCTTCCCCCCGTGATTCCAGCAATGTACACCTAACGGCATCCACAGTCAGGTCTAGGCCGCATCGCGCCCGACTGGCGCATTCGTTTCATGCCATGTCAACGTTGCAAAACGGCCGCGCCTTTTCAACTCGATGTCGGTGCGCGTGCCGGCTGTAGGGACCAAGCCTGTACGCAAGCAGCCGATTCGACATGCGTCCTACGCTGACTCGAGCGATGGCTATGGCGACAGCAACAATCCAGCCATGTGCTCGCTCGTGGACAAGCGCGAAGTGTGTGCTGCTGTCTTGCGCGAAGGGCTCGTGCAGTCGTTCGTTGACTTGTTTTACCTCGTGCATCGCGTAGACACGCACGGTAACCTTAGACTGGATGAGTGTCTCCCTCAACGCTGTCTAGTGACGGCGGATGGCCAGGAAATGAAGGAACCAGTCGCGATCTCGCCCGCGCAAATCAAATTTCTTCGTGACCATCTCACCGCGGCCGAGAAGGCACGGCGCCAAGGGGACGTCATCCACGTGTTTGAATCGTACGAGAAGCTCGCTGTGTACTTCATGGTAGGGCGTTCAAGATGGCTCGCTCGTGTATGATGGTGGACACCGTTCTAGGACCAGCAAGACCTCCGAACGGGAGTGTTTTTCCACGAAAAGTGCCTCGAGATTGCCCGCATCTCCCGCAACCAGGACTTTGAATTGGCGGCGCTCGAGAATTTGGGCAATGCATACTACGGCCTCAAGGAATTCCACAAGGCCAAAGAAAACCACGAGCTTCACCTTGCGCTCGTTACCCAGATGCGCGCAGCGGGCGCGCACGAATCGAATCGGGCCGAGGCCGCTGCGATGGCCCAGCTGAGCAAGGTGTACGAGGAGGTTGCGCGACAGCACGAAACCAAACGCGAGTACGACCAAGCCATTGCGATCCATGCGAAATTCCTTCAAGTTGGTGGCATCGATCCAAGACACGAAGTGTACGAACTCTCACGGAAATGGATGGCCGTAGTGCGCCCAAGAAGCCAAGGACTTGACCAACGTCGCGGCTGGCCATTACCGCATCGGGTGCTGCTTTAACGCCATGAACCAGCCCACGGACGCCCTCGTCTACCTCAAAGACTATGTACGCCCTCCACATGTCAACGTTTAACAAAAGGACTTACTCGTCGTGGTCCTAGCTCGTCATGTGCAAGAACTTGGGCGATACGGACGGCGAGTGCAATGCGTATGCTGCCCTTGCCACAACGTTCGAAGCGACCGGGCACGCGTCGCAAGCGATGGACTACCTCAAGGAGTACTTGATCACTGCCGAAAAGATCGGTAGCGTCATCATCTACATCGCACCGTCGAAACGAGGGCACGAACTGTCTTGGTTTAGAAAACGTCGTGGCCCAGGCCGAGGCATGTCGCCGCCTTGGGCTCCTCTACAGCGCCGCCAAAGACTTCAACTTGGCCGCCGAAATGATGGAGCGCAATTTTGACCTGATCAAGAACGCCACCAAGAGCGACACGGCCCTGCTCGACCAGGCCCGCATCAGCCTCGGTGTCATCCGCGCGCATCAAAAGTTCCACTTGTTTGTCGACTTTGTCACGTCCGACCTCGATGGGTTCCTCAAGTGGAAGGCGTCGCGGACGATTGAGCCCAAGGCGTAGCTATCGATGCACCCAAACATGTAGCCGTTGCTGGCAAGAGTGCTATGCTTATGAGGTGCCAATGGAGATAACGTCATGGACCATGAAGCCGTAACGTGGTCGAGCTGCCTGTGCTAGAGAGGTCTGTCGCCCACAAAGTGTGAAACAGCGTTGCCCAGGTGCAATTTTGCTGTGTATGGTACGGTCGCAGGAGTCACGTAACAAGTTAGAACGTATTGAAGGACAGGCAGCGCAACGCTACACATGAAGCGCGTAGAGGCCACTAGTCGGCCACGAGGGGCTGCGAGTATTTGGCCTTATAGTGGCCCTTGAGGTTCTCGTACTTGGACGACAGGTCTTGCTTGCGGCTGTCCCGAACGAGCTCAGCTTCCATGTCTTTGAGGTTCTTTAGATTCATGTAAGCGTACTTGTTCTCGTGGCCTGGATGGTCGATGTGAGTCCATCCAAGAAGAATGGATGGCCACGTACGGGAACGTCGGAGGAACGAGCTGCAGCAGTACCGAAACACTTCCATCACGAACAACCCTATGAGGACGTACGCAGGGATGAACTTGTGCGTTTTCAGGAGCCGGAGTTCGTCGTCAGTGATGTGCAGCTCAACTTGGTGGTCCTGGAGGAACCGCTCGATCGCACTTCCTTGTGTGAGGATCACGATCGCCAACACAAGCTCAAACAGCGCCACGAGAACGAGGAGCCATGACGAAAGGAGGAGAAGTGGCGTGCATGACCGACAGGCCGACCCGCACCAGCTCATGAGTGCAGTGATGACAAGGAGTCCACCTAGTGCGAGAAGCGGGGCAAACAGCCATTCCGGCGCAAAGTGGTTCAAACCAAGGTAGGATCCGTACGCCACTAGCGCAACCCCGCACGACAGGTCGATCCCATTGCACAGGAACAGCGCCGTGCCCGAGCAGCATTCTTCCAACCACTCGCGGCACCGCATGCGACAACGCGGGAATGGTCGAATCGAAAGATATGTCAGATGGGTCAAATACCTTAATTCTACTATACAATACAAAATTTGAATAAACTGGGACGAGAACGCTGGTCAAATGACATGCACTCGTGCATGGTGTTACGGAAAATGTATTTTATCCGGGCACATTTTGGCACTTTGGAAATGGTGCGACGGAGATCGTCTGCGGATGGCGGCTCGAACCGCCGCAAGTCGTCCACGGACATGATGGGCCATCGTAAAGGAGATCGTAAGCTCTCTGACATTATGGAAGGTGTTGCGATGCCTCCCAGCATGTCGTTCTTGGAAACGCAGCGTATCACGGCGATGCAAATGGAAATTTACGGGTTTGCTGGGTGGATTGCGTCGATTGTCGTGTTTGGTGAGTCGATCTTCATGGTTGGTTCTCCAAAACGAAGCCATGATCTATCGATTGTGTAGTTTGCTACCTTCTGTGGGCATATGTACCCGACTCGATCTTGGCATCGTACGGAATCACGTATTACCCTTCGCGGTATTGGGCCCTCGCTGTTCCGGCAATGCTCGCCATGACTCTGATGGCGCTGTTGGTGGTCTACATTGCCATCAACTGGGTATCGACAGCGCCCTTGGACTCATACAACACTATACGAGGTACGATCCATCTTCCAACGTGGCATTTCGTCCGACTTACGTTGCCACCAAGACCAGTACACAATCACACTGACCGATGACGAGCTCGACGTCCAGCGCGACGCCAATACCCCCGCCATTGCAGACATCCCGCTTACGTCAGTAAATCGTATGCTGTTCAACTGAATGTCCTCGTCCATTTCTTCGTCAACCTTGAGCGACGTGATCGCGGCGTTTTGCAACTTCTGGTCGTGCCTCGCTGCACAGTGCTGTATCTAGAACGTCGTCATGCACGATCACCTGCAACGACGGTGCAGAACAGTATGAGAGATCTGGAGGAAGCAGCCAAGCCTTCCTTCGCTTTCATTCTACCTACGACCTGTTGGTACAAGCATCTCCATGTGCTAGTGCTGCGTGCAGTGCGGTCGGCCGCGACGATGGAGTGTAGTGTTTCAAGGCCCATGCCACGTTTCTCAATGTCGTCGAGGGCGGGACCCACAAGGTGGGCTTCATCTCCTTACAATGAGGGTGCGCCATCGCAACGTTCTATCCTAATGAGTCGACGGCAGCAGGTGCAGCGACCTTGACAATCTCGATGTCTGTGTAGTGGCCATCCACCACATGCGTCAACGTGACGGCATTGCTGTATGCTGCTGCGACTGTGTCTTGCACGATGCCAAGCATGGCAGTCCAGATGGTCGTTCTTTCGACATCGTTCGCGCTCGAGCACATTTGGTTGACCTTGGCCAAGAGCGGCACTGTCCATTTGACCTTGCACATGTCCAGGAAGAGATCAATGTGCTTCCGAGGCAGCGGGATGTCGCCAGGGGCATGCTCCGTCATGGAGTCGATCCCGTGAAAATCGGATCCGCCCAGCTATACAAAGCGTTCACCATGCCACAACGCGCCAACTTCATGGCTTACCTTGAGCAGATTCGACTCGGTCGCGAGGCTCCCGTACAAGTCGATTTTGCCCGAGTCATGATACACCTCGACACCCTAACGAAATTTGACCGTCGCGAAAGGTTTCAACTGTCCACAGCAGCAAAGCAATGGAAACGATCGCTTGACGTACATGAATGCCCGCTGCTGCCAGCGTCGGGACGAGCGTCAGGGGGTCCTTGCAGCACCATGGATGCGCGAGCACTGGCGCCACAAGTCAGCACCACTCCACTTGCGCCGCCTGACACGAACCTGACACACCACCGGCGTTTTCAATCATGCGAATCGCATCTACAGGCAACCATGACGACGTCGTTGGTTCAATGCATTTGCCGTCCAGGGGTGCAAGCACTCTACTGCGGCCGCACTACCTTGTGGGGGGAAGTGCTCTCCCTAAATGGAGACGGGTTCATTCAACACTCCCCTCGTCCATCGTGGTGATCGTCAAGGAGGTTGTTACAATTACCTCGGCATACGCTGGCCCGTCGTTGCTCAAGTACCTCGAAAACGCTTCTCGAAACGTGCTCACGTGTCCGCCTTCGACCAGCGCCTCTGCCACGTGAGGTCGGCCGGGCGCTGCTTCGCCGGCGATCTGCAACACCCGCTCCCAGTTCAGTTGAATCCCCATGTCTGCCTAGACGATCTCGTTTCGTAAGACACAAGATGGGTTGACGACGCACCAGCTTCCGCAGCATCTCTTTGCCGCGCTTGTGTCTGGCTTGTCGAATTGCCAGAAGCTTTGCTTCAATCTCGACCGAGTCCGTTCCTGGGCAAAAATACCCCAGAATATGCAGATTCTCGGCGCCTTTTTCCTCGGCGCTGATCTCGACGCCAGGAAGTACAAACACCCCCAGCGACCGACCGGCCTCCATGGCTTCCGTGACACCGGCCATCGTGTCATGATCGGTCAGCGACAGGAACATGACGCCGTTCGCGGCCGCCTTGGCAACAACTTCCGCCGGTCGAAATTTGCCATCGCTGCACGTACTGCGCACGACAAAGTCAACGATATGCACTGGCACAGCAAAGACGAGATACCTATGCATGTGGAAATCGCCCTGGGCGTACTCTGCGTGGTTCGAAGGATACATGTCGTGAGAGACGTGCTCGTGGACATCGACACCTCCGTCGTCGGGGTCGTCGTGGTCGTGGTCGAGTTTAGGAAACTTACTCAGGTACTGCGGCTGGAGATTCACGGGCTTCCGCTTCGCAGCCTTCTTTGTCTTCTTCTTGCTGCCGCTGCTGCTCCCGTGCACCATGGCCGTCGTGGTCCACTTGCCAGTTGGTTTGTTGCCGCGCCAAACCAGCCAAGGGCACAAACGAGAAAACCTCTCAAAATCCATCCATGAGTATAAAACATGGCACGGTTTCATACGAAATTGTCTCTATTTTAGAGAAATGAAATAATTGAAAAACAACAAAAATCCGCCAAAATAGAAGCAATAGTTCACAGGCATGACGGGGGCTTGCGATCACAATGGCCTCACGCCGAATGCAGCGGCAACTACGCATGCCATGCCGACGAGGGCGAACGAAGGGCGAACGTTGCGCAGCCGCTTGTCGACAATGCCTGCCCATGCATGACAGAAGGGGGACGAAGGCACGAGCTAAAGGGGCACTGACTTGCTCGACATGGTTGGGACGAGCTGAAAACGAGCATCTCGAGCTGACAGCTCGACGTGCTGAGAGACAACTCGTGGACGTTTTAAACACATCTCCTGGGGGAAAGGCCATTTCTCGGACGATCCTGCCATTCGGAAAACAGATTTCCCAACGGCCACAACGCGAATTCTCGCCCCACGAGTCCTGTTATTCTGTCATTGCATGCTTCGCTCAACAACGGTCAAAGTCTCTACCACAACTGTTATGTCCCTTCCAATGCGCCAAGTTCCGGACAACGAGATGGCGGCAGTCACTGGCAACAACAATCAAGCCCCCGACAACTCCAAGCAAATCGTGGACAGCGAATATAGTAGCAACGAAGGAAGTGACGACGGGGGCGTGGTCGATGAAGGTGACAACGACCCCGACGAGATGGACGTCGACGGTGGCGACAAAGACCCCGACGAAATGGACGGCAAGGGGGCCGTCGATGACAATCCTCGCCCAAACAAGAAAGCCAAGTCCACGACTTACCTTACTAGACGACTGGAAAGTCTGGATAAGAGGGTGGTGGATGCTGCTGGAATGTATGCGCTGCAGTATGAGGCTCTGGCGAAAAGCATTCTTATGCTTGACGCGCGCGTGACGGCGACAGCGGCGCGGGCGTACAACATGCCGTTGTCAAACGAGTTGCATCTGGATGCGGAGTTTCAAGTGATCCAGAAAATCATTCCGGGGCATCCATCTCGCCCCAGTCCCCCTGAAGGTTTCGACGAACATGCGACATTTGGGGTCGGTGCGGTCCCGCCACCATCCATTCACATGCTCATCGCGACTGTCCGCAGCTTGGACGGCATCAACCACCACGACCAATTGGACGCCATCCACTGGTTTTACAACGACCCCCGTCTAGCCCATGTGTCTGGCAGCACAATCAGCCAGCGACGCATTGCCTTGCGGTCCTTTTTGTGCCGTTGAGCGCACTGCTCGGAGTACGCTGTGGACTGAGACCGATGAGCTTGTATGATGATGTTAATTCTTACACTTGTGATGGAGTCGACTTGAGCGATGGCGGTGACAACAATCTGTCGCTGAGTCGAAACAGACGCTTCGGTCGAACGAATGTCCAAGGATGGGTCCCCCCGTATTGCCCCAGCAATGCACCCCTCCACAACGCACTGGCAAGGCCCAAAGTCAATCGAAACAAGCGGTTTTGTTTACTAGAGTGAGGTGGCAGCTCGGAGGAGCAATAGTTGAAGGCTGAAATGCCCTGGTTCAGCCATCAAGCATGTTCCAGCCCACCTAGCACTTTCGAGGTCGCGTTTTCGATGCCTGAAGCTTCACCTTTGTTTGAAACAAATTTTCGAACGTTCATAAGAC